TGACCTTGAGCGATCCACCCACCTCAGCCTCCCAGAGTGCTAGGATTACAGACGTCAGCCACCGCACCCAGCAGAGAATAAATATTTTTTAAAATAACGGAAAAAGAATGAATGCTAGAAAACTGGAAATGAACAAATACCTACACTTCCAAATGCAAAAAATTACTTTTCAAAATGCAGATCAATTATTTTCAAAAAATGAATGATGAGCTTTAAAAAAGTAGATCAAGAGAAGCCAAAATACAATTACAAAGAACAAGAAATGACAAAAGATCCTCATTTATTTCTTAAGAGGTCTGTTAGACTGCAAGATGTATAAGATTATAACTGCTTGAACACTCACACCAAAATATTGACCTAAAGCCTCTTATAGTATACCACATGCTTGGCTGTTGACCCAGGCTCCTCAAATTAATAAAATGAGAAAGTTTATTAATATAATAGATAACAATTAGAACTTTAAAAAGAAAGTTGTTAAGCAGAAACAATGAGCCAAATCTAACAATAAGATAAAATTTTAAAGGAATACATAGAATGTCTTAAGCCCAAAAAACTCAAAACAAGTACATGATACAGGGATTAGTTTAATGAAATCACATTAAAAAAAGAACTAAGAGTTTCAAAGACAAAATGAATCAGTAAGACAATGGGGCTGGCAAAGAGCTATACTGACCACAGGCTGAGTTAATGTAAGTAAAGAGTAGAAGAGGATTTTAGGTTAATAGACCTACTCTATCTTAAGATGGTCACTAAGAGATTAATACTCAGAAACGGACACCAATGCTTTTCAAAAAGGATAAAATAGAGCATGTCCACAGAAGGTGGACCAGGGCAGGAAGAACTAGATACCATGTTATGTTAAAGAAGAACAGAAATAATAGTTATAGTGAGTCCAGTAAACAAAAAACCTTAAAGTCTGTCAGGCATAAATACATACTAAATCTCTTCATTACCACTCCAGCAGCAAAAAAAGGCAAAAGTTATATAGTTAGATTTCACTTCAACATATTAAAAATTTAACAATTAAAACAATCCAAATTCAAAAGAATATCCTCAAGAAAGGTACTGATCTTCCTGTCACTAAACATGTTCAAACAAATTACCACTTGGTAAAGATGCTTAAAAGTAGTATCATTATTCAACAAATATTTTTCAGCACTTACTATGAACCTCTGGGGATACAGAGAAAAGAAAAGCAAAACAGACAAGGTTTCTGCCTTCATGTAGCTTATATTCTAGCAGATGAGATAGGTAATAAAAAATAAAAAATATATGATGTCAGTTAATAAAAGTACAATAAAGAATAATAAAGCAGGGTAAGGAGAAATAGTGAGAAAAGAGTACAATTTTAGTAAAGTGACCAAAAAAGCCCTCTCTGAGAATGCAGTATGTAAGCAGAGACCTAGACGTAAGCATTGGGCCATAGGAGTATCTGGGAGACAGTTTTCCAGGCATAGGAAACAACAAAACAAAGGCCCAAAGATGGGAATGTGTCAGTATGTACAAAGCACAGTAAGCAGGTAAGTGTGCCTATGGCACAATGAACAAGGAAGAGTGTGGCAGAAAATGAGATCAAAAGGCAGTCAGAGATTCAATCATGAAAAGAACTTTAATTTTTTTTTTCCCAGAGATGGAGTCTCCTATGTTGCCCAGGTTAGACTCAGGCGATCCTCTTGCCCCCGCCTCACAAGCAACTAGGACTACAGGTGCACCCGGCTCAGGACTTTTATTTATTCACGGTGTAATCAGAAGCCTGGGAGAGTTGAAAACTGGCAAGTGACATGATCCAATTTCCTTTCTGAAAGGATCAATCTGATTGTTCTATAGAGAACAGACTACAATAATGTAAGAACAGAAGCTGTTAATGGGCTCCTGCAATAATCCAGGAGAGAAATAGTAGCTTAGACTAGGATGGCAGCAGTAGGAGAAGTAAAATGTGGTCATATTCAGGATTTATCTTACAAGGTAAAGACAACAGGATTTGCTAATATATGTGGAGTATAAGAGCAAAGTCAAGGATGACTTTCTATACGCTTTGCTGCCTTATTAGCAAATTAGCAACTAGGCGAACAGCAGTGACCATTTACTGAAAAGGGAAACACGAAGAAAAGAGAAAGTTGAGAGAAAGGTAGGTGGGGTGTTGCGGGGAGGGGATCAGACATTGTGTGGGACATATCCAATTTTACTCACTGAACAGATATCGAACTAGAGCTATCAAGTGATCAGATATATTGAAGTCAGGAGAGGGAGCTGAAGACTGGAGATGTAAAATTAGGGGTCATTTAAAACAGATATTTAATGTCATGACTAGATGAGATTCACCTAGGGTGCAAGTATAAACAGAATTAAGGTCTTAGGTATTGAGGCCTAGGACATTTCATATTTAGAGGTCAGGAAAAAAAAAGAAAAATCTTATGAAGGAAACCAAGAAGAAGCCAAAGCCAAGGAAATGAGAAAAAGCCAGGTATGGAATATCCGAAGTTGACTGAAAAAAATGTTTCAAGAAAAGAGTGATCAATAATAATCACAATAATAATGCTGAGGGGTTTACGTGAAGGGATTAATACTCCTTGACATCTAAATCTTTCTGGGGAGGGAAAGACCAAAGTATGTGCACAACACATACACATAAAAGTATTTTTGCACACAATTGTCATGTATTGACAGACCTCATGAAAATATAATGAAGATACTAGGTTATGAATCCCTGATTTAACACAATATTTATTTATTCAACTATGCTAATAATATCTTGATTTGTGTACTTTAAATATAATAAGTACTCCAAAAGAACAAATTATTCGTTGGGAACAAAAAATATAGTGCATAAATTTTGAATTAAACTATACTCCCACCATAAATAACTGCAAGAGTAATAAAAAAAACTTTAAATAAACTTACCACTAACATTTTCAGTTAAAATAAGGTGAAAGACCTGAGCAAAGGCATCAACGTCTTTATGTAACCATATGTCAGAAAGACAAGTGTCCATTTCCTTTATTAGCCATGGTTCAAGACAATTCACATCTTTTTCTGTCTACAAAAAGAAAAGCAAAAATTATAAATTATGTAACAGCTTAACATTTGCTTATAAAGAATGTAAGATAGCCACAATGGCCACAAGGACTACTAACCATATGATACAAAGACTTTGACATAAAAGTTTCTCATTTCATCACAAACATTATCACTCACAATATATATCTTGTTCTTACCTTTATCTTTCATCTGAGAATGAACTTGTCAATAAAGGACTCAATAAAGGCACAATGTTAACCAACTGTGTTTCTGATAGGATGTTGCTAAACGTATCTATATACCAATGGTTCTCTCTCCCAACTGCACATCAGAGGAAGCCTCACCTGGAGCTTTTTAACACTGATGTCTCATCTCACCCCACTGCAAGTACATCAGAATCTCTGGTGGTGGGGCATCTATAGTGGAGCACCATATTCCATAGGGCTTTAAAAGCTCCTCAGGTGATATAATCTACAGCCAAACTGAGGAACCACTAATTCACATGGTCAAAATACTGTGCATTGACTCAAATGGGTCTTCCCTACACTAAATAACAATTTTTAGTAACAATTTTTAAACGTTCTTGAAAAGTATTTTTAAAAACCCATGAATAGTTCATTCTGATGCATTAGAACTTTAAACACTGATAGAAAACTGCAAGCACATCTGTATTATTAATACATATCTTCTTGTGCTCAAAAACAGTTAAATTCTTTTTCTAAAGAATAAAAAGTTGCTCTGAAAAATCTGTTGTAGTCAAAGACACACTAAGAGAAGTATCCTTCCATTATGCAGTAAAAAATTATAATCTCATAAAATGTTCTTTAACCTACACAATTTTCACTCAAAATATCAGCAGGAAACCAAGGAGGTCTTACCAACTGACTGAAGACAGCATCACCACCATCATCCAATAAATCATACTCTTCAGTCTCATTTGGAACATTTCTCTGCCTCTGAGATTCTGGCTTGAAAGTATTCTCTTGAGCTGAGTACCATTCTGTAAGTGTGGTTTGTTGTTTCTCCTCTAAATTATCAAAGAAAGTATAAATAGATAAATTCTTTCCTTTTTGAAATGTATTACTTTGTTTAAACAAATTAAGTGAATCTGGTATCAGTTTGCCTTATTCTGCATTACTTTTTAAAAATATATAAAGAACATTTAATAGAATATGTTATGCTGAACCACATGAAACTGCTTAAAAATTTCATCTATTCATCTATTAGTAATAAGTTTACTTGTAAGTAAGTCCAGAATTAAAACAGTATTTTTATCCATATTATATTGTTTAAATCAATGACTAATATTCATATAACACTTTGCAGAAAACCGTGTGTAGAACTTCTATCACCATGCTAGTTGTTTAAGAAACAACAATTACATACAATTTTCATCTTCAAAAGTTTCAAGACACAGGAGTTTTACAATTTAGGTGTCAGTGATTCAGCACTGCCAAGTGAAATAGGCAATGCTAATTACATTTTTCAAGGGGAGTTAATTATCTGTCCAAGGTCATACAGAGTAAACCAAAGGTATCAAAGCTTGAAGCCAAGTCTTCAATAATGAATAATTTATTTAAAAGTAAGAAAAAGGAATCTTGAACCCTAATTCAAAAGCTAAGATATGTGATAATAAATGATGCAATAATAGGTAAAATAATGCTAATTTCGAAGTACAGATAAAATCCCACAAAATAAAGATTTTCAAAAATGTTTTGATCAAAACATTTTGATCAAAGATGAGCCTATTATTACTCAAATGCTACTTTTTTTACTCCCTCCCATCCATTTCCTTCTCCTATCCTATAAGATATGCTGTAGGCAGCCGGCATATACTTTTTTGCCTCCTTAAACAGACACACTCAACCTCCTCAACTCTGGCATTCATTTCTAATACTTCTCCATAGACTATAACTTGCAGACATACACTGGAATGCAAATGTACATTTGGGACAATATCCTAATATAATGTTACATAATTAAACACACAAGAAAAACACTTTCAAGTGTCCTTGTACATCCATAATATAAGGCTGGAGTATGCCAAAAAGTCATTATCAATAGCATTTTATATTTCTTTGATTAAAAACTTACCTCTCTGTTTTTCCTTTTTGTACTTTAACATTTCTTTGTTTGTATATCCAGTAGTTCTTAAAATATCTTCCAGAAACATCTCTTTTACCTCAAATGGTCTTCCCTGTACTAAAAAATAAAATTTTTTAAAAAATAGTCAATTTGCATCTTAGAGAAAATTCACAAAAAACATGAGAGTCCCAATTCAATGAATCTGAGTGTAATATCCAAAAGCAATTCCATAGTTCAATTGACTCTTTAAGATATGGTCCTTTAAATATAACTTTGATTTATAGACAACTGTCTATAATAAACTGTATTTTTATCTTAGACAACTGTTCACTTGTTTACTTTTTTTTTCTTTTGCAGTGTTTACTAATTATTTATCATGTGTTTGGTATCATGCTAGGCACCAGGAATACAAATGGTAAGCAGAAATAGAGCTATAATATCTCCTTCCCCCTCAGGCAACATAGGAGGGGAGACAGATAGTAAACAAATAATCCAAACTATAAATGTAAAAATGGAGTTATGAAAAGTCCTATAAGAGAGTTCTATGTAAGAGAAGTACAAGACATCATGACAGTATGTAATAGGTAGATTTGACTGTGTCAAGAAAAGCATCATTACTGGAAAAATAGGGAGCAAAAGAAGGGGATAAACAACATCACTAGGCTATATGGAAAGGAAAAAGGGAACAATGAAGAAAAAATGAGCATGTGCAAAGTCCCTGTGTTGGGAAGGAGTACGATGTTTTCAAGAAACAAAAAGGCCAACTTGGAAAATGGTGGGAGTTGGGGAGTGGAGAGGGGATTATAGTTTAAGACAAGGCAGGAGAAATAGATAAGACCTACTAAGGGTTTAGGTCTTTAACCAGAGATAAAGGTCATTCAAAGGTTTAAGCTCAGGATAGTGTTCAATATCATCAGAATTCCACTTCAGGAAAGACAGGCTGGCTCCAATGTGGAGAATGAATTTAATAGACAACAGAATGGATGCATCAGGCCAAGTAGAAACTATTGCAATAGTTCAGATAAAAAGAGAACAATGACTTGAATGAGTTGGTGATAGTGAAAATGAAAAACCAGACAGATTCTAGAGCTAGTCAAGAGGTAAAATCCATAGAACTCAGCATTACATTAGATATGGAGGAAGGATAAAAAAGAAAGTGTTAACTTTCTTGGATTTATGGCTTGCAAATCTGGATGGATGATGATTTCATTCTGTGAGGTAACAAGGAAAACTGAAGACGAGAATAGGTTGGCTGGTGGGAGATGGGGTTTCATTTCAGGCATGTCAAACAAGAGGTACCGAAAAATGAGCTTTCAATTGTACCTTTCAATTGATTTTATGTGCCTGATCACCTAGGAGTATCATGAGAAGTTAAGAAGAACTTACAGGTTTGTGACTTGGGTGGACCTAGGTCAATAGCAGTATGATTAACCAATACAAGAAGAGAAACAGGTTTTGAACAAAAGATTAAATATTTAGTTTGGGGCATATTAGAAATGAGCTACTTGTAAGATATCTAAATCCAAAGCTCTGGAGAATAATCTAAATTGAAAATAAAGATTCAAGAGTCATCAGTACAAAGAGAAAATAGAAGCCAAGAACATGAATGAGAGCTTCCAAGAAAACTATGCATCCCAGTACCTAGCAGAGCATAGCATGGAGCAGGAAAGAAGGGCATGGGGGAAGGAAGGAAGGAAGAGGGAGCGAAGAAGAAAGAGAAAAGGAAATGGATCAAGAGAGTAACTCTAAAAAATACCAACATTTAAGCATCAAGCAAAAGAAGAGAAGCCCAGAGAGGAGACTGAGAAAGAGCAGGCTATATTGCAGAATGAGACTGAGGAGGTAGTGTTGCCAAACAAAATTATGAGATCTGAGTATTTCACATACGCACAAAAAAAGGGCCAATGAGAAATACCACAGAAAATTTAAGTACAATTTTTACCTAAAATCTGAGTATTAGGCTTGGCAATTAGATCAATGTCATAACACTGGTAAAAACTCTCAAGTGAACAGCCCTATACACTTCAGAAACATAAATCATTTCATCCTTTTGAAAAGTAAAATGGCAAAAGCTGTTAAAAATAAAAATATTTATACTCTTTTACTTAGCAATTTCACCTTCAGAAATCTATCCCTAGAAATAAGAGCACCAGTATATAAGGATATGTGTAACAACAACGTTCATTATAATGTCATTTGTAGTGGGGGGTTGGGAAGAAGAGATGAGGGCCCAACCTGAATATCCAAAAATAAAGAAATGGTTAAAAGTACAGTACATCCATATTACAAAATACTAAAGCAGATGCTTAACATAATGAACTAGATCCAGAGTTACTGAACTTGAGAACTGTACATGATGAATAAAGCAAACTGCAGATAATGTATTAGGCAGGTGCTCATTTTTGTAAAACCCATTTTCGTAAACCTTATATAGATGTATACATTTACATATGTTTGTATGAGCACACACAAGGTAAGAACAGATATATACAATGCTTTTAACACCTGTAATATCAGGATAGTAAGACATGGAACAAAAGAGGATGGGGAGCTGGCCACAGTGGCTTGTGACTGTAATCCCAGCACTGGGAGGCAGAAGCAGGATTATTTGAGGCCAGGAGATTGAGACCAGCCTGGGAAACTTAGTGAGAGCCTGTCTCTACAAAAAAATAAAAAATAAAATAAAAATAACCAAGAAACATCTAAAATAAAATATGTTTGTTGAAAAATAAAATTAAAATTAAAAAATTTTAAAAAGAGGATGGGGCAACTATGAACTTTCTCTCTTGAAGTAAACATAACTTTTGTATTTTTTGAAGAGGAATTTATAATTTTTTTAAAGATCGGTGGTAAAATCCACTTTTATTAAAGGACAAAGGCAAAAGTTAATTTTCAGCATATTCAGAAGTGAATGTGAAATAAACGTGGCAATGAAGACTACTTTTTTCAAGGAATCTACCAATCAAGGGAAGAAACTATAGGATAAAATTTAAGGGGGGGAACACAGGGTCAAAATAAAGCATATTTCTTTTTCAGATTAGAGAATTGGGCTCGTTACACAATAATGAAAAGCCGCAGATGGCAAAGGAGAGGTTGAAAAGAGAAAACTATGAAGCCTATCTAAGGGGAAACAGAAATGCATGCCCTCTACTTCAGAACATTCTCCAGTTTCTGTCAGAATAAATATAATCAGGCTCAAAAGTGCTCATAAAAATTATAAATCTCACAATTTTAACTTACTATGTATCACTGGACAACTTCCAAAATATCTTATAAAGAGATTTACATCCAAGGCAGCACTAGAAAGAATTAGTTTCAAAGTTGGGTGCTTTTGCAACAAATCTCTTAACTTTGTAAGTAAAAAATCACTAAATCGATCCCTTTCATGCACTTCATCCTGCAATGAACAGAAATAAAACCATGGAATAGTTAAAACTATGAAGGACTAAGTCTTTAAAATAATGGCACAAATTTTGGACTAATTCAAATTAAATGTGGACAAAGGTAATCAACGTTAGTGAAAATTTTGTACTGTAGACAATTCAGAAATAATGAAACATTAACAACCTACTGTGGATAAGAAAGTACAGTTTTCCTTCAGTATCCACGGAAAATTGGTTCCAGGACCTTCCCCTATATCAAATCCATGGATGTTCAAGTCCCTGATATAAAATGGCATAGTATTTGGACATAACCTATACATATTCTTCTATATAAATACCTAATATGGTATGAATTATACAAATACTTGTTAAACTGTATTTAGGGAATAATAACAAGAAAAGTTCAGTATAGATGCAGTTTTTTTCCCAAATATTTTCAATCCTTAGTTGCTTGCAATCACAGATGTAGAACACACAGATACAGAGGGCCAATTGTACTGCCCTTATTTCCCACAGAATATAAAAACCACACGAACTATAATAAATTCTAAATAAGTTAAGTCCAATTTAATGTACTTTTAATATATACAAAATCTATTTAAATATGCTTCTGTTACATCAGGGCCCAGGTGCATCCTTTGGTTTGGGTATGTTTATAAATGCTGCTTATTAGAAGCCTGTAA